GGTACAGGTGCACAATCATCTCCTACTTCTGCACCTTCGCAAACTGATGGAACTGCGGAAGGTGGTAATTCTGCAGAGACATCAACGAATAACTCAGCGAGCACGAACCCTGAAACTGACAGCACATCCACTAATGAGGAATCAACCACCACCACAACAACAACACTTCCTCCTGAACTCACAAACAACAACAAGAAGGGTGATGCAGACAGCAGCAGTAGTATCAGCAGTTCTGTGTGGGTGTGTGTGCCACTACTGATTGTGGTTACACTGGCCTGTATTCTTGTGTGTTGATTGTAATGGTGGTGTGGTGTGACTGAGGTCATCCTTTGTTTTCATTTTTTCTTTTTTGCATGCATCCCTACAGTCTAACTAATCTTTTACCTGTTGGGATTATCTTTTTTTGTTTCTTAATGTTATTGTGTTTTTGCTCTCTATGTGTTTATCCTATAATAATTATTATTATTGCTACTTCATTGTGTGTGTGTGTTCTTGGAGACTCTCTGTGTGTGTGTGTGTGCCTGGGCTTGCACTGTAGTGATGATGATGAACTGCTTTTTTTGCAGTGAAAGGAGAAGAAATAATAATAACAGATGAATTTATATTTATAATTGCGTATATACACATACATAGACTTACACCCATAGTTGGTGTATATTTCTGTGTTTACTGGGTTATTTGGGCTCAATTGTTAATTTCTTTTCGTTTGCTCTTGATTTTGCTGGGTCTTTGTGTTGTGCCCTGCACTATGTTTTGTTGCTTTTCTACGTGCAGAATGAAGGAATTACAACCGATACATATTTATTAATGCTGATTAACTGAAGGGTACCCATAGATTTCTGAATTGTGTGTTCAACAATGCTTTGTGTATAATTTTAATTTTTTTTTTGCTCCTTTTTATTGAACTTCGTTGTTTGTGGTGGATATTCATATTCTTGCTGGTGGTGTTGTTTTTTATGACTATTTGTTTTTGTTTTTGTTCTCTCTGTTACTATCGGGGAATGTGTTTGTGGTTATTTTACGTTCTGTTTGTTTTCTTTTTCTTTTTTTTTGTACAGCTCATATACCACAAATAAGGAAAAGAACTGCTGCCGTGATGTTTCTTCACCGTGTGTTGTATGTTCTTCCGTTGCTTTTGAGCATAGTCTCTCTATGTGTGGCGGCTGATACTTCTGAACCGTCTTCAGGTGAAGTTGTTGATGGTGGTTGCCCTCCTGATGATAGTGAACCTGATACGTCTAAGTGTCCCGGAATTACTGAAGGTGCAAAAGGTGACTCTGGTCCTCCTGGTCCTGATAGAAAAGAAGGTAAACAGGGTCCTGCTGGAGCTTCTGGTGAAGAAGCCAAAGACCAAGAACTTACTGATGTAGAAAATGGTAAGGTAAGTCCAAAAAATGCTGCTCATGGGTCCGATCCTCTTGCTAAATCTCCACTACAACCTTCTGGTCCTCCCCAAACGTCAGCTTCAAACGGGAATTTGGTTAATCCTGGTTCTGCTAGTTCTGGTAGTCATGTTACTTCTGGACCAGGAAAGGAATCTGCTGAGGGTGACTCAGTTGAAGATCAGCATGGACCAGATGCCATTGCTGATTCTGGTGAACGTGGAACTCGTGGTCAAGCTGCCGTTTCTGCTACTGCGCCTGCAGTTAACAGCCAACCTGGAAACAACGACAACAGTGCATCCAATGAAAGTAAAGAAAACACGAGTGATGCCGTCACGTCATCTTCTTCTTCCAGCAGTACAGAGTCACAAAGCGATGGAGCATCTGAAACCACAACGACTGGAAATGACACCACACCTGCAGGGAGTGAGTCATTAAACAACCAAAATTCGGGTGGAAATACAGAATCAACCACCACCACCACAACAACAACAACAACAACAACAACACTTCCTCCTGAACTCACAAACAACAAGAAGGGTGATGCAGACAGCAACAGCAGTATCAGCAGTTCTGTATGGGTGCGTGTGCCACTACTGATTGTGGTTACACTGGCCTGTATTCTTGTGTGCTGATTGTAATGGTGGTGGTGGTGTGACTCAAGTCATCCTTTATTTTCTTTTTCTTTTTTTGCATGCATCCACACTACAGTCTAACTCATATTTCACCTGTTGGGATGTCTCTTCTTTTTTATGTTTCTTAATGTTAATGTGTGTTTTGTGTGTTTTTGCTTTATGTGTTTATCCTATAATTATTATTATTGCTACTCCATTGTGTGTGTGTGTGTGTGTGTTCTTGGAGACTCTGTATGTGCACCTGGGCTTGCACTGTAATGATGATGAACTGCTTTTTGCAGTGGGAAAATGAAATTATAATAACAGATGAATTTATATTTATAATTGCTTGTATATACACATATAGACTTATACCCATAGTTGGTGTATATTTTAGTGTTTACTGGGTAAATTAAGCTAATGGTTAATACCTCTTTGTTTGCTTGATGATTTTGCTGGGTGGTTCAGCTTTTTTTGAGATATTTATGAGTGTGGGCTTTTTTGTTTTTGTTTTTACTCTTACTGAGGTTATTGTGCGCTGTATTTCATTCTTTAACTGGTAGGTTTTACTTTCACGATGTGAGTTTCCATAGTGGTAATCGATTTGTATCTCCTAACATGTTTGATACTTCAGTTATTTTTCTTTTTTTTGCTTTTTGATTGTCTTTCTTTCTAGATCAGTGTTTTTACGCAAACCAAACTGTTGTCTCTCTCATGATGATGATGATGGGCCGTGTGATGTGTGTGTTGGCCGTTGTGCTGTGCTGCGCCTGCGGGTATACCATGACGGCTGCTGCTCCTACTACTACTGTTAATGCTGGACAGCCAAAGGCGGTGATGGCTTATGATTTTAATGATTTTCTTGCAACAGCAATCTGTGATTCTGGGAATATTGATCCAAGTAAAACAAAAGTTAATGAAGTAACATGTGCAGATTGGAAAGCTCGTGGGAATATTACTGGAGTGTCGGATCCCCCTCCTACTTCGACAAAGGCGCCAGCTACTGAAACGAAGGTGGTTCCATCTCAATCTGCCAAAGGAGTTCATCAAGTACAAGAGAGAGTAGTTTCACAAGATCTTCTTCCAAGTGGGTCCCCAGCACACATCACGTCGACAGGCACCCCGTCAGATTCTTTAGCGCCGAAGAACGAACAAGCAGTGACACAACCCAGTATACCTGGGAGTGGTGAGGCCCCACCTAATGAAGATGCTCTCTCGGTAGAACGTTCACAAGGCCAAACTCAAGAGTCTACTGAAGCACTACAAAGTGACAAAGGAGTGTCGAATAACACGGGGGATAACAGTGCAACGGACACCTCTAATCCCAACCAGCAATCTACTGCAACTGATGATGTAACTGCCGCACCAAACTCAACAGAAACAAATGCCACTACTCCGCTGAGCACCGAGAACACTACCACTGAAGCACCAACCACCACTCCATCTCATGTTCCCGACACACAGATCAGCAGCAACACTATTGCCTCCAACTTGCAGAAGAAGGCTAATGTTGACAGCAGTGTCAGTCCTGTGTGGATGCGTACTGCAGCACCGTTACTGATTGTGGTGGTATTGGTTTCCGCTACTGTCTGCTGAACGGTGGGACTCATCTGAGGGTAAATAATAATAATGGTTAACTAACATAATCATAATTGCGTACATCCCCCATGGGTAGATGAAATTAATAATCTGTTTACCAGCTTTCTCTTTTAATTCGAATTTATTTTGTTTTTTACTTATGTGTGTGTGTGTTCTTTTTCTAATAATTCCATTACTTGCTTTTCCCGTAGTGTGTGTGTAGAAAACTGGACTGTTCTGCTCACTGACGGTATACATCTCTTGCTAGTACACACAGATGTGTGTGTGTGGTAATTTAATACATAAACTAGAGCCATGGGGTATTGTGTGTGTGTGTGTTTGGCTCTCTCTATTATTTGGGTATTGTTTTTTTTTTCTTTTCTATTAAGGGGTACATAGTATTATCATACAAGAGGAATATTTCTTTTTCTTGCTTTTCTGTGGTTGTTACTGCTTCTCTCTCTGTCCCACTGTGAGTATTTGTTGTATTGGTTTATGTTTATTTGTTTCTATTATAATTATTTTTTGTGTTCCTCTTTCTTGTATCAGTTTATTGAAGTAAAACAACAACAATGACAAAGGCTGTAATGGTGAGGTGTTATCTGCTCTGTTTATTAACTCTTGCACTTTGTTGTGCTTGCGGATTGGTATGGGCTGAACCAATCAAGTATACTATGAATCAAAGCGGTATGTTGGTCGTTTGTTTTCCTCCATCGGAGGCTGTTCTTCTTGATAATGGAACTCCTGACTGTGTTGTCAAAGATCGTAAAATCGAAGAACCTGAAAGTACCTCTGACAAGGTGAGACAACAAGAAGGACAACAGTTGAAAGAAAACAAACCGGTAGACGCTAAAACAAATACAGGGAGGGAATCACATATGGATACAGATCAACTCACAAATAGAGAGAACAAAGACTCAAAAGGATCAGGTGCTAATGAAGGGAAAGAGATATCTGCTAATGCACCTCCGAGTTCACCTGAGACTTCTTCCAACACATCACCCTCAGAGGAAGCAACTGTTCATCAAACTACACAGGAATCCAACGATACTCCCAATAAACAAGTTCCTGCAGCTACTAGTGGTGAACGTTCTAATGAACCTTCTGGCGCCGCACCTGCTTCTCCCAATACATCTTCTACACCTGGTGATGGCAGCAGTAGTGCACCTGCACGTAACGGTCAACTAGACGGTGCAGCACCACAACCTTCTTCTCCTTCTCCAACCAATTCAGCCACAGAGAGTACCAGTGGATCTGATGCTGCAAATACTGAGAACGGGACTTCGTCTGCAGGGACTGAGGCAACAAGTAACCAAAATGAGGGAGGAAATACAAATACAACGACGACCACAACAACAACAACAACAACAACAACACTTCCTCCTGAACTCACAAATAACAAGAAGGGTGATGCAGACAGCAGCAGCAGTATCAGCAGTTCTGTGTGGGTGCGTGTACCACTACTGATTTTGGTTACACTGGCCTGTATTCTTGTGTGCTGATTGTGGTGGTGTGACTCAGGTCATCCTTTGTTTTCTTTTC